AGATAGATAGATAGATAGATAGATAGATAGATAGATAGATAGATAGAAATGTAGCATAAACACGTTTAACTTTATTAACTTTGTAATGAAGTACTGAACCGGTTCTCTTCTATAGAAAATAAAGTACACTCACCTTACCCGGTACTCCTCGGTGGTCGGTACTTCCCTGCCAAAACCGACGGCTAAAACCCTTAATGTAACCAATTCTCTTCTCCTCGTAAGGGAAATCGACTTTCCATATCAAGGAGCCGTAACCGAAAACCCACATGCTCACACGTTGAGCTGCCGTTACCTTGATGGCAACAAGGACGGTTGAGGCTAAATGGAACAATAACTTCTCCCACGGACAGCTAAGAGCTTAAACTAACAGACATATTCACCTGTATGAGTGTACGTGATATTTTACGACCAAAAACACACCAATAGCTTCGCTATCCCGGCAAAAAAACTGTCAAATCATCTGGATTACGTAAGGACTTCGACTTCCGGATCAGAACTTTCATAATAAATCACAGACACTGAGTGTGTTGCAAATGTCAGATACAGCTTAAACGCCGAATGAGATATGAGCTATTGTTTAAGATTAACTAAATATTATCTTATTATCTTAAACATATTGTATGTACAGTAGCACCATAGCCTATCATTTACATACGTATAGTTTTTATTTTTAAGAAAAAGTAGTTTTTCCGGTTGTTCTCAGTTTTGTGAGTATGACGGCTATTTTTGTCTAAGATACGACAAATACGTGAAGTATGGAACTGAGTCAAACGTGCATTGAAATACACGAGGAGGAACCCAAGCATCTATTATACCTAGAAATCTTCGGCGTCCTCATTTAGAATCACAGATATACAATAAATAATCGCTTTTCCCCCCACTTCACCTGATTTTTGTAACCTAAAACAACGCTTTTGGAGCTATGTTTTCAGAATTTGTCAGATGCAAGAAAAAATGACAATACATCAACTACATCAATTAAGTAAAGCATGATATTTGAATGTAATAATCTGGCAGCTCAGGATATTGCTTTAATCATAGCAATTCTCTATTTTTTCAAACATCACATTAACCGACTGAATCCTTGGCTCCAAGATGGCCTAGCAGGCTACCCCTCAAATATATCCATTAATTTGCTTCCAGCAAATATCTGTGACAGCAAGTGTCTTTCTCTTTTTTTTTAAGCATGAACAAAGAACATGGGGCTGCAGTAGCGACAGCAGGGGGTGCTGAGTTTCTATTTGCATGTTCGAAATAAAGTCTCCACATCTATTCGTGTGAGCACTGATTCAGAACCAAATAAAGTGGACGGCAACAGTCTGGACTGTAATGTCAGCGCCATGAACCACAACCGTGTTCATTATGCTGCTTCTGAAAGAGGCCAGTCAGCAAACCTGTTTATGTAATGTGCCAGGCTCCAGTTTGGACAGACAGATTTGTGGTTGAAATGCCCAGCTGGGCTGGAACACGTTGCAGAAGAAACATCTGCCACATAGAAAGAGTTGTTCAGGACTCTGGAGCAAAACCCACAGAAGACCAAAGGTCAGTTTTACAGAAAGATTGTGTCTGATGGTATGCAACGTACTGTATAAGGAAGTACTAACAATTACAATATTGCTCTTGTGGTTGCACACACTTTCTCTTGCTTTTCCTCCTCTTAATTATGTCCTCTAAACTGCATAAAAAAAAAAATCTATAATACAAATCAGAACTACCATCCAGGGTGTACCACGCCTCTCGCCCATTGACTACTGGGTTAGGCTTCAGTCCCCCAGCGACACCATTAGGGAATAAGCGGTCACAAAAATGATCAGAACTGTCTCCAAAATAAGATATATCAAGCTGTTATATTAATTCATGTGAATATGATTGAATATCAATGTATTAATAATATGAAATATAAATTAATTATCATTCTTTATGACAGATTAAGAAGGCCTTCTCCAATGAATAATGTCTTTATTAGAGGTTTTGATTCAGCCTATAGCAATTCAGATTTTTTCAGATTTTATGAATCTTTACGTATAACAGACTGTCAAATTCAGAATTCTTTTGTGAACTAATTTTGAGAAATGTTAAGTCTTAACTATTTGAAGTTGAGCTGAATTTATATCTTCACAAAAAACATTGCTTTGATATTTCAAGTTATGTCTCTGCTCTTTTTTGTTAATGACAAAGTCTACATGTGTATCAGCAAATCATTTCATTCTGTTCTCATTTACATTTTACAGAGCGACACAATTTTTGGAAGGTGTTTTGCAACCTAAATCAAACTTAAATATCCTAAATTCAATATACACATAAGTATGTTTTCGCTCATCTGTGAGTAAACATCTTAAAATTTTACAACAAAAGAATCTGTTATTACACAATTTATGGCAATTTATGACTGCAGTATAATTATCATTAATTCATTTACATCATCACCACCAGTGTTTTAGCATTTTTCAGTTAAAAAAAAAATCTAATAACAATTTTCTTCATTTCTCCATTCACATTTGGTTAACTCCATTAGAATCTAACAGTTCTTCCTCCTCTTTGATGATTATATCCTCTTCTATATTAATTTTTCCCAGTGCTCCTCCTCTCTTTGTTTTACTCCTCCAGAGCTGCTCCTACACCTTCCTGTTCTGCTTCTTCAAACATAATTTGCTCATTTGTTCAAGCTCACTTTCGATTACAAGATCTGCATTTTTCTTAGCATTTTAATGGTCGCCTGTTTTTCAAAGCTTACTTTACAATCCCTGTAAGAAGAGTACGACCATGTCACATGTCGCACCCTCTCGACCCAAAGGAGTAGGTCGGTTGGTGTCAGAGATGTCTGCTGATGGCAAATTAGCATGGATGAACTACGAAACAGCTCACTATTTATTGTCAAAGCAGGATTATTTTACCATGTCACTAGCTGTCCCTTGATCACGGCTACATGCTTGTTTTTGTGTCCATGACAACAAGCATCCTCTAAACCCCACAAAGCAGTAATTTTGATTTTGTGATGTAACTCTTTCAAGAGAGACATCAGATCACAAAATGCTTCTTTGTTCTGGAGGGCATGAACTGATGGCGCACAGCATTTTGTCATTTGATTTGAAGGACTCATTGAATAGCAAACCCGTGTTACAAAGTGCAAACATATTATTTGGGCTTTTAGAAGGCATGGCATGAGTAACAAAGGGTGCTCATAAATTAACTGATGTTAAATATGTTATATTTCTATGTGACTCATAGTAAAATGTGAAAATAAGACCCTGTTTAATTCATTATCATAATTCTATTTCAAGTATGCAACATTTTAGTCCCTCTGTATTATAGAAGTACAAGAGGACACTCAAGGCTATCTTCCACATGATTTGAAAATCTTTTGATTGATTTTTTTTTTTTCATTGGGGCAAAATAAATTGTTAACAATTCTTTCTCTCTTGTATTATCTGCCGAGGCCATAATGCCTTTAACCCAATTACATTATGATAGGAGAAGTTTTCAGTATCGACAACTTGATTTTCAATGACAGGTAAATAGCCATGTTCTGTTCCATGCTGGCAAACCTAGTGTACAATCAATATTTCTTGTTACTATTTTTTCTTTCTTTCGTCCATTCACACATCTCCTCACCGATTTAGCTCAGAAAAGAGATGCCTTCATGAAAACAGCCTTTTTCTTTACAGGATTCACTTTTAGGATCCTCGGTCTGACCTCCACTATCTAACTGTCCACTTGTAGCAATTGAGATCTATGAATCTGATCCATAGGTCTCCTCTATATTGACACACTCTGTGGTTTCACACAAAGAAAGCTGTTGAACCTCTGACTCCATCTTAGCAGCCACAGTGAAGAATTGGCCAACTGAGCCTCAAAAGTCTTCAGTAAGTACAGAGCGTAGTTGAGTGGGCCATTTTGAGCTCTGAGGCCACAGACTGTTTGTTCATGAGCTGCTGGTATGACTCCTGAAATCACTCTCACAGACTCATATGCAGGCTTGGTGAATTCAGCCACATCAATCCGTGGTGCTGTACTTGCCAAAGGATGTGAATTCTATTATGGGTATAGCAACTAGAAATAATGATATGAAGGACTGGAAGATAAGAAAGTCATTATTACCAAGTCAATATTATCTATTTTGACTCAGTTTTTTCACTGAATCTGCAAAACCTACCCGGCAAAAACTGTTGGTCCAGCATGAGCCTTGACTATTTTGTATAACAGAATGAGGGTACCCATGCTCACATTTACATGACTGATATTCCTCTTCAGTTCTAGTACAGTGAAAACATAATTACAGAATTGATTGATAAAGAGAAATGTTTCTTAGATTATAGCTGCAGTGTTATCCTCTGTCTTCTAGATACAAAAGACAAAACATTTGGACTCAGCTTCTAGCTTTTGGAGTTTATTACGTGTTAAAGGTTTTTCTCAACTGTAGATTATATTCATTTAGATAAATATGTGGACAGGAGGATCTGTGTCAGCATCCTAAGACAGGATCATCTATCACTTTTGTGCCCTTTTCTTTCCGTTGGTAAGGTTATATTGCACATGATAGGCAATCTTATAATCAAAACAGACTTTTATGAAATTGTTTCTGTGTAAAACACAATAAGGCTGCATGAATTGAATAAAAATTCAAGAGCGCTTCTTGATTGTCCATTTAGTGTCTATAGTTTCAGCACTAAAGACCCAGTCACAGCTTAGTGTGAGTGTGCTCTTAAAGTGCATTCAGAGCAGTCACCCTCTCTTTCTGTAGGAGAAATTCCTCTGATTTTCTTCAACTACCTTATTTGCTCTCCTCCAACGTTAAAAAGAGATCAATGCAAAGGTCAGTAGTAGTAAGGCAAAGGAAATGTTAATAGATGTTGTCGTATAGAAAAAGTAAGCACACTTAAGGTCTTCGGCTATTGTATTTTTTTTTAAAGAAAACTATTTGGCACTTGGTCTTGGGCTGGATTATATTGGCTAGATCAAAAGGTTTTCAAAGTTGGTTTTAAGTTGGAATATGTTTGATGGTACTGGGGTACATTTTGCCCATTTGAAATCCCACCGTGACAATTTCATCGTGTTAAAATGCCATAACAAAGTGATTCCATAACCCCCAATTTTTCCATACAAGTAATTTCTTGGTGGAGTAACTTTGTGGCATATATCAATATTTTCATAAAAGGTCTACCTCCTATTCAACCTTCTGTTAAGCAACACTTTCAGGCATATAGCTCCGCATTACATGCCTGAACTGTCACTCTTTGATATGACGCAGGTATCACAATTTAAGGGTTGTTGGATCCATTCAAAGTGAGAGTGTTGCAGGGTTGCTGCTTGTTTCATCCGCAAGCCTCAGGGAAAGGAGGGTCAAAGCTGAAATGCCTCTTAAGACAGCAGCAGAGCTAACCACACAGCCAGTTTCATAAATATGTTGGGGAGATCCGACATGGCATGACACTGCTACAGCATCATCACTCAGCTGGTTCTGCAACCACAGCATATTGTT